GGCTGCCTTATGTAACGCTGCGGGCCGGGCGGGGGCAATCCTACCGGTGTACCGGGCTGTCACCCGGCTGCCGCGGAGCGGTGACCGAACGAGGGTTTGTTCCAGGGAGGGTTTGTCTCGGAGAACTGTCGATACTGCCGCGGCACACTGAGCCGGAGAGGGAGTGCGCTGGGTGTTCGTGCTGCAGGTCCCGGCCCCTCTGCTTGTAGCGCTGCTGTCTGCAGTGCCCTTGCTGCTCTCCCTGGGAGGTGTCATGCAACACGCAGGCTGCACAGGCAGAGTTAATGTCGGTGTGACTAAACATGGCGATGGCAGGGATTTGTGGTGTTGGTTGGGCTTCTTAGAATTGCTGAAGTAATTTCTATATATCTTGCGTTTTTCCCCTCCTTCTTTCCTTCTTCAAGGTGAACTTCACAGTAGACCAGATACGGGCCATCATGGACAAAAAGGCCAACATCAGAAACATGTCTGTGATTGCCCATGTTGATCACGGCAAATCAACCTTGACTGATTCTCTGGTATGCAAAGCTGGTATCATCGCCTCTGCCCGCGCGGGGGAGACCCGTTTCACTGACACAAGGAAGGATGAGCAGGAACGGTGCATTACCATCAAATCAACGTGAGTTCTCTCCCTTCAGGCATCTCAGTGTTCCTGCTGTGTGACCTGAGCTCAGGGGGGCTTTGAGTCCTTGGCTGGTTTGATCATGAGGTGAAAGAAGACGGCGTCAGGCTTTTTGTAGTCTAATTCGGAAGCTCATCTCGTGCTCGTGAGGATTGCTTAAATGAAAGAGCAAATATTCATTGGCGTGTGGTGAATCATAGAGCTCTACCTCGGTGGCCCCTGGGAAATAGATATGCAGCAGGAGCTTCAGCCTTCCAGTTTAACACTGGGGCTTTGGATGTGGCTGATGTCTGCTGGAGTCCCGGGGATGTGGTGCAGAGACTGTCTTAGGAGCACCTCTGGCGACATACTTGGTGGCTCTGTCACTGGGTGGTTTGAGGACCCTGAAGGGCATGAAAAGGGATCAGAAAGGAGGCTGGGACTAGTAGAAAAAGCATAAATTCTTGACTAAAAGAAATGGAACCCCCTTGGGGCACTTTAAATGGCATGGGATCAGGAGAAGTTATTTTAGGAGAGGTTATGGTTTCAGAAGAAGTTATGGTTTCAGAAAAGCATAGGAAGGGTGGAATTTAGCCTGAACTCCTGGTGATCTCCCATACTAGCTTCCCAGGAACACGCTTCAGGAAATCCTTAAGTCCCTGTACAGCTGTCTTTGTGGGATAAAAAGCTGTTTTTAAGCATTGGAGAGAGGTAACGTAGGTAATAATTTTAGTAGTTTTCTTTTATTTCAGAGCTATTTCTCTATTTTATGAACTCTCTGAGAACGATTTGGCCTTCATCAAGCAGAGCAAGGACGGTTCTGGTTTCTTGATCAACCTGATTGACTCTCCTGGGCATGTGGACTTCTCTTCAGAGGTCACTGCTGCCCTTCGTGTCACTGATGGCGCCCTGGTTGTTGTAGACTGTGTCTCTGGTAAGGTTTTCTGCAGCCTTATGCAACTGGAGCCCACGTTTGGTGAGTTTGAAGATGAGGATAACTAATTCCCCTGTGTTTGGCAGGCGTGTGCGTGCAGACAGAGACTGTGCTGCGTCAGGCCATTGCCGAGAGGATCAAGCCTGTCCTGATGATGAACAAGATGGACCGAGCGCTACTGGAGCTGCAACTGGAGCCAGAAGAACTGTACCAGACCTTCCAGCGCATCGTGGAAAATGTGAACGTCATTATCTCCACGTACGGAGAAGGAGAAAGTGGCCCCATGGGAAATATCATGGTAGGTGGAAGGCTGTGAACACTGTGTTCGAAATAATCCCCTTTAGCGAGAGGGAGCAGTTGTGGCTCTTTCTGTCTCAAGTGGAGAAGTGAGAGTAGAATAATGAAGACGCCTGTGCTGCCCTGGCTTGTGCTGGTTTGGAGCTCTCACCAGGTTTCCTCCAGAATCTTCTGTTAGTTCAAGGCTTGAGCAAATGAAGACTATAAATACAAGGAAATATTTTCCCTCTTTACGAAGAGTACCTTTGTTTTGTAGGACACCTTCTTGCCCACATCGCATCTGTGATGTGAGACCCTAGGCTCCTGTGCAGCATCCCTCACCCGGCTGTCTCCTGAAATGGAAGGCCAGGAGGTGTTTTGCCAGTCCCTGCGCTCTGAGGACAGCTCCCCGCTGGGTTCCTGGGTGGCGAGCAGGGCTGTGGGCTCTTTGCTTTGAAAAAAACCTTGTGCCTTGGTCCCTTTGAGCACTCTCCTGTGTGCTGCAGGTTTTCATGTGTTGCTGATCCTCCTTGTGAAGGACGGAATCTTACCTGCACGCAAATCTGCACAGCTGCTGAGCTGTCTGGGGATGTAACTGATTGGAAGTGATGAAAAACCGATCTAGTTCTGTGGTACAAAGCTAATATAGGGCGTGTGTGGCCAGGCTGTCCCCAGACTCAGAGGTTGCTGCTGTCACAGAACTGCTTAAGGGTCCAATACTTCTGAAGCTCCATCTTCAAACTTTTTGAGGGTTATTTGGGACTGAGTAGGCTGACTGCCGTAACGCTCCGTGGCTGTAAGAGCTGTGGCTGTTCCTCTAACCCAGCTGTCCTGTTTCCTTTCAGATCGATCCAGTGCTTGGTACCGTCGGCTTTGGTTCTGGCCTGCACGGCTGGGCTTTCACTCTCAAACAGTTTGCTGAAATGTATGTTGCAAAGTTCGCTGCCAAGGGTGATGCCCAGCTGAACGCATCTGAGCGTGCCAAGAAAGTAGAAGACATGATGAAGAAGCTGTGGGGAGACAGGTGAGAATTGTGGCTGTTGATTTTAATTCTGGATCAGTGGTGTGTGGCTGTAGAAGATGGGGAAGGAGGGAGGATGTGATGGTGCCTGCATAGGGCCCTGTCTCAGTGACTTGGTGCACTTGGCAGCAAAAGAATCATTTCCCATGAAATCTTTGCAGAATAGGAAGCGCACAGATAAATGGGGAGTTAGCAACATGTGTTAAATGGTTTTTGGCTCGCTCTGAAAGCCTGGGAGGGATGGGGGGGCAACATGCATTAAATGGTTTTTGCCTCGCTCTGAAAGCCTGGGAGGGATGGGGGAAAGCATGAAGACTCTTCTTCCTCAGGAGCTCTTCCTTCTGGCCTGAGCAAGGAGAAAAAGCCCCACTTCCGCAGCTGAACTGAGCATTGATGCTTGTCCGACTTGATTCTTTCTCCAGATACTTTGATCCTGCTACTGGCAAGTTCAGCAAATCTGCTACCAGCCCCGATGGAAAGAAACTGCCCAGGACCTTTTGCCAGCTCATCCTTGATCCCATCTTCAAGGTAAGTTCCTTAGTGTTCAGCCCTTGCTGCTGGTGCCTTTCGCTCTCTGGTTCAGTTGAGTTCCTTGGTGTTCAGCCCTTGCTGGTGCCTTTCGCTCTCTGGTTCAGTTTCAGTGTGTGATGATGGAAAATTTCTTCACTTTGACCTGACTTGTCTGATTGAAGAAATTTAAATATCTGACACATCTTGTTGTTCTGTGCGGGCGAGTGTGTGACTGAGCCTCCAAACGGATTTGGCTGGGTGATGAGCAAAAACAGAGGTTCTCTTCAGAGACGTTTGTGCTGCTGCTTCAAAGTAGGTCACCGGCGACAGTCATATAACGGCCGCTGTTGTTCCAGGTTTTTGATGCAATCATGAACTTCAAGAAAGAGGAGGCGGCGAAACTGATTGAGAAACTGGACATCAAGCTTGACAGCGAAGATAAGGACAAGGAGGGCAAACCGCTGCTGAAGGTGAGATTGGTCTGAATCATCTGTGGGGAGGAGAGAAGTAGTTGTGAGGCTCCAACTATGTCAACTTACTGAGCAGCTGCAAATGCTGCTTGGGTGGGAAGGTGCTGTAGGCAGCTTGGAGGAAGGACAGGAAGGTTAATGGCCAGGTTGTGAACAATCTGCCTGGATCTCATTCCTCTGATCTCTGCTCAGGCTGTGATGAGACGGTGGCTGCCGGCCGGAGATGCGCTGCTGCAGATGATCACCATTCACCTGCCTTCTCCTGTCACGGCCCAGAAGTACCGCTGTGAGCTGCTCTACGAGGGACCCCCCGATGATGAGGCTGCCATAGGTACGACAAGCTGCTGCTTTGCTACCGGGCATTTCTTTAAATGCTCTAAGATACCTGTAGCCATCTTGTTCTCCAGGTACACAGCTGGGCAGCTACTGCAGTTCTTGAGTCTGTAGCTTTTCTAGTGTGGACAAAACAAGCTTAGCAGCTTCCAGCTTTACTCTGGAGGAGTGAGCTAGTAACTGGGGAGTAGCCAGGGTATGTGCCAAGGGCTCAGGCTGAGCCTGTATTTGTTTAAAAGATCTTTTGGCGATGTGATCTTGGGCTGGCCAGCTGTCCAGACAGAAGTCAGTGGGCTGGGACACTAGTGAGTACAGGCGTGGTGTGGGGATTTGGGGTGGGAAGGGGGACAGGGCACGTGTACCACATGCAAGAAACGGCACTGAATCAAGTTGAACTCTCCCTGTACTCCCAGGTATTAAGAACTGTGACCCCAAAGGCCCCCTGATGATGTACATCTCTAAAATGGTGCCAACCTCTGACAAGGGACGTTTCTACGCTTTTGGACGTGTCTTCTCTGGTCTCGTCTCAACTGGCTTGAAAGTCAGAATCATGGGACCAAACTACACACCTGGCAAGAAGGAAGATCTGTACCTGAAGCCAATTCAAAGGTCAGTCCTGGCTGGGGTGTGCCCCATGACTCAGATTTGTGGTTCTGATACTGTCTTGGGTCTCTCCTCATCTCTGAGGCCAGGCGAAGCGCTTAGCTGTTGACTTTGCTGCTGCAGCTCCAGGATACTGCCTGGTGGAACCTCTTCCAAACTTGAGTAAAACCACTTTCTCTTTCATCAGGACCATTCTCATGATGGGCCGCTACGTTGAACCCATCGAGGACGTGCCTTGTGGAAACATTGTTGGTCTGGTTGGCGTTGACCAGTTCCTTGTGAAGACTGGAACCATCACCACCTTTGAGCACGCTCACAACATGAGAGTCATGAAGTTCAGCGTCAGCCCCGTTGTGCGTGTGGCCGTGGAAGCCAAGAACCCAGCTGACCTGCCCAAGCTGGTGGAGGGACTGAAGCGTCTTGCCAAGTCTGACCCCATGGTGCAGGTGAATGTCCAGAATGGCTTTGGGGACAGGAGAAATCCTGGTCCCGCTGGCACAGGAGGCTTCTGTCTTTAGTTGTGGTTGTGCTGGGGGTGCTGGCAGAAAAGTTTTGGGTTCAGTATTAGTCCCAGCCCAACCAGAGTGGGAAGGAGTACTGTGTTTTCACCTTGGCTGGTGCTGAGTCATCCCCAGATCGGTGGAAAGAGATCTAAAAGTAGCTCTGAGTCGAAGACAAGACTTGGAGACAGTCACTAGGATTGTGTAGTGGAAAGAGATCTAAAAGTAACTCTGAGTCAAAGACAGGACTTGGAGACAGTCACTAGGATTGTGTGTGCGAGAGCTTTCGCTGCGTTGCAGTCAGAAGCCTCACGGGGGGTATAAATGGTCTTTTCAGTGCATCATCGAGGAGTCTGGAGAGCACATCATCGCTGGCGCAGGGGAGCTGCACCTGGAGATCTGCCTGAAGGATCTGGAGGAGGACCACGCCTGCATTCCTATCAAGGTAGAGGGGCTGTGGCGGTGAACTCTGGGCAGATATGTGGCGAGCTGTAGTTCGTTTGGTGGCTCACTGGTCTCTGTTCCGTCACCGCAGAAATCGGATCCTGTTGTGTCCTACCGCGAGACGGTCAGCGAGGAATCCAGCGTGATGTGCCTTTCCAAGTCCCCCAACAAACACAACAGGCTGTACATGAAGGCCCGGCCCTTCCCCGAAGGCTTGGCTGAGGACATCGACAAGGGCGAGGTCACTGCCCGTCAGGAGCTGAAGCAGCGAGCTCGTTACCTGGCTGAGAAGTACGAGTGGGATGTCACCGAAGCCAGGAAAATCTGGTGCTTTGGTCCCGATGGCACTGGCCCCAACATCCTGACCGACATCACCAAGGGAGTGCAGTACCTGAATGAGATCAAGGACAGCGTGGTGGCCGGCTTCCAGTGGGCAACAAAGGAGGTAGGGGCAGCGCTGGGGGTGTGCAGTGTCATAAACAGCTTGTGTACATCTTTCTTCTCAAAAAATTGCAGAAAAACTCACACAGTGCTACATTCATAATTCAGAAGCATCTTTTAGGATAAGTGAAGCTCTAAGGTGTCGTATCAGTGTAGACACACAAAACACCCAAGCTCAAGACAAACCCCTTCTCCCAGCACTGCAGAGAATGTGTGCTGTGTACTTAAAATTATAAACTTTTGAGAGAGCAAAATGCAACAGCAGGAACAGAAACTATTAAGATGAATAACACAACTGGCATCAAAAGAAAATGAAAGGTACTCTGGGAGCCTCAGCAAAGATCTGGCCTTGTTCAGCAGTTGTTTTTTTCAGGACTAAACAGGAGATTATTCCAAAATAAGTTGGCAGGTAGGCTGAGAATAGAAACAGGAGAGGTTTCTTCCTGTTTACTTTTTTTTAAAGTTAGTCTGAAGAAGATACCATACTTTTTTTGTCCCGGTAGTGTGGAAAAACTACTTTTCCAGGCCAGATGCTTGGCTTGCAGCATCATAAATGTGTGTCAGCATTTCTGCGGCTGACATAAACCTTGGAGCTGTTGCGTGAAGATCCTGGTAAACGGTTTCAGTGCCTGAAACTGTCTCAGGGAAGCCGCGGTGGTGGCTCAGAGGCAGCATTCTTAGGTCCTAGGCCTGGAGGATGAGTTGCTGAATGGCTCCTTGGTGTGCCAGGCAGGCTCTTGTGCTTCCTGCTCTCGGACCCGCCGCCAAGGACTGCCCGTAAGCCGAGGGACCAGACCTGTCTCGTAGGGAACGGCAGCTTGTGGCATTGGCTCACCCCCTGCTCTGCTTTTCCAGGGCGTCCTGTGCGAGGAGAACATGCGTGGTGTGCGTTTCGACGTGCACGATGTCACCCTGCATGCCGATGCCATCCACCGTGGAGGCGGGCAGATCATCCCCACTGCCCGGAGATGCCTGTACGCCTGCGTGCTCACCGCTCAGCCCAGGCTCATGGAGCCCATCTACCTTGTGGAGATCCAGGTGAGGAACCTCTGCTCATTCCAGAAAATCCTGCGTGAAGAAAATGTGAGTGAGCCGTTCACGGTCCTGACGCCTCTTTCTTGCAGTGCCCAGAGCAAGTGGTGGGTGGCATCTACGGTGTGCTGAACAGGAAGCGTGGCCACGTGTTTGAGGAGACCCAGGTGGCCGGCACCCCCATGTTCGTGGTCAAGGCCTACCTGCCTGTCAACGAGTCCTTCGGTGAGTGAGCTGGTCCTGGGCACTGTCCTGGAGCGTGGTGGCTCCCAGGAGCATGATACCACCCCTGGGGCGGAAGGAGATCCTTTGTTTCCAGCTGTCTGACCGCAACGGTTGTGGGATTGTGGAATCGTTTTGATTGGAAAAGACCTTTAAGATCAAGTCCAACCATGAACCCAACACTGCTGAGTTCACTCCTAAGCCATGTCCCCAAGTGCCACATCTGTACGTCTTTTAAATCCCTCCAGGGATGAGGACTCAGCCGCTTCCCTGGGCAGCCTGTTCCAGTGCTTGACAACCCTTCTGGGGAAGACATTTCCTAATACCCAACCTAAACCTCCCTGGTGAACCCGAGCCCGTTTCCTCTCGTCACTTTTTATCTGGGCAAAGGGACTGACATCACAAGGTGGTTTGGGCTGGAAATGACCTTGAAATGTCCCCTAGTCCACCCCCCCTCCTGCCATGAGCAGGGACATCTTCATCTCAAGGTTGCTCAGAGTCCCGCCCAACCTGACCTTGAATGTTTCCAGGGATGGGGTGTCTACCACCTTTCTGGGCAACCTGTGCCAGTGCTTCACCACCCTTAAAATCTTACCTAGTCTGAAATAAAAGGGGTTTAGAACCCTTCCCGCTTGTCCTGTCGCTGTAGAGCCTGTCCCCATCTTAGAAGCTGCCTTTAAGCATGAAACATCTCCCTGGAGCCTTCTCTTCTCCAACCCCATCTTCGTTGTTACAGACGTGCACCACGGTTGGCATCTCTGTAGGCTTCTGGGCTCCTCTTTGGGTTCCTTTGGTTAAAGTGTGCTGGTGGTGACCCAGAGTGACACCTCCTGTTCCGCTAGAGGTGACATTAAACTGCGTGTCTTCTTCCCCCTCTGCAGGTTTCACAGCGGATTTGAGGTCCAACACGGGGGGTCAGGCTTTCCCCCAGTGCGTCTTTGACCACTGGCAGATCCTGCCGGGCGATCCCTTCGACAGCAACACTCGTCCTTGTCAGGTGGTGGCCGAGACCCGGAAACGCAAAGGGCTGAAGGAAGGCATCCCCGCGCTCGACAACTTCCTCGACAAACTCTAATTAAACTCGTTGGACTCCTTGGGTTGGGGGGGGAGGGAGGAAAAAAAGAAAATTAATTAATTAGCGTTAACGCCCATGTGAAGGGGTTAAACGCCTGTGACCGCCATCTCTTTGCATTGTTAATTAATGAGTTTCATAGATATTTGAGACTTTAAATGAGGAGAAAAACATCAAAAAAAAAAAAGAAAAAAGCCTTATAGCTTTCTGTGTTGCACATGACTGATCATTGCCATTGTAACTAAAACATTTCCACTAGATTTGCCCAATTCTGTATTTATTTGACTCAAAAAGTGGTTTGGGGAGGGAAGGGAGGGTCCCTAATCCTCCATTTCTCCCCAAAAACGGGGTCAAAATGAGGAAAAAATGAGGAAAAAGGGGGTGGGGGTGTGTGTGGGTGTGTGTGGGGAGGGAAGATGCCCGTCTGCAGTGTGACTGTCCTTCGTGCCCATCGCCGCCTTGTATTAGTGCCACTGGAATTAATTAGTTAATTAATAAAAATTGGATCATGGTGAGTCGATGTGCCTTTGGGGGTGCTTGCCCAGGCAATTGGGGGTAGCGCCCTCTGGCGGGCGGGAGGACCTGGTGGAAGTAGCGCAGCATCAGCTCATCCACCTTTGGCTCCGCCCCCCCT